GGCCGGAGCCCTGGGAGGAGGGCGGCGAGCCCCGGTGGGGGCTCGGCTCTCCCCCCGGCGGCCAGAGCGCCGGGGGCAGGGCGGCGAGCCCGGCTGTGGCCCCGCTCTCCCCGGCGGCCGGAGCGCCGCGCCGCCCCCCTCCAGGTGCTGCCCCAAGCACCAGCTTGGTTGCCTGGTGCCTGGAGCCAGCCCTGTCAGGAGGTCATCTAGTCCAACCCCCTGAAGGTCACATGACACTTTTCATATAGTAGAAATGTTAACCCAGGTCCAGATCCTCAAAGGTATCTGGTGCCTAACTCCCATTGATTTCAGTAGGAGTTAAAAGCAGAATCTTGCTCCAATTCCAACTCGGGTGATTACAATCTAAAATACCTCCCTCTGTTCCCCTTTCTATTTCAATCGGATGGGCTTTTCCGTTTCGTTTCTGCCCTAAGCTTTTGTGCAGCATTGCTATGGCTATTAAACAGCTGTCCTATTCCACACCAGAGGGGACTGCATATCTCTGATGGATGAATTGATTCCTATAAACCAGGGGCACCCAAACTTTTACTCGTGTGTCCCCCCTTGCCAGTAATGGAACGGGGCCACGCCCCCCCTCCGCCCGTGTGGGAGTGGAGTCGCGGCCAAGCCATGGCCAGGAACGGTGGCCGAGCCAGGGCTGGGAGCAGAGGCTGGTGGCTGAGCCATGGCCGGGACCCGGTGGCCAGGGAGTGGAGCTGGGACCGCAGCTGCGGCCAGGGCTGGAGCAGAGATGGGGACAGAGCGAGGCTGGGTGGTTCCTTCCCCATCCCCCCATGGGGGCTGGCTCTGGCCCTGCCGTGCCTCCCAGATGTTCCTCCGCACCCCCTAAAGGGACACACCCCACAGTTTGGGGACCACTCCTATAAATAGTTTGTAAAGCTCTTTGGCCTCCATCAGGATGAAAGGCACTACATACATTACATGATGTAATCTGCTAGTGACGGCTCCTGCCAACTCCAGCAGGGACCGCAGTATCCTCTGGAGATGATGGGCTTTGCCTCCTCACTGGAAGGTGTTTGCTTTGCACGCAGGTTGTGCAGATGGAGTGGCAGCACCGGGAATTGCTGCGGATGCAGGTGGCAGCCCTGCGGAAGGAGTTTGCCCAGAAAGAGAGTCGGCTGACAAACGGCAAATCCACACCTCCAGCAGACACTGCCCTGGAAACCAGGGAGCCGGCTGTGACCTCCTCCATGCACACGCTTCTGGCCAACGCTGCCCTGGCCTCCCGGTTCACCCTGCCCAACAGTCTGGTGGGTCCCCAGGACACTGCGACGCCCAGGCCGTTAGACATTAGCACTGGGGATGTCATTTCCTTCATTGAGCCGCCAGAAAGCTTACCTGGCACTGGGGGCAACAGCCTGGAAAAGCTGGAGATCGTGGAGCTGCACCTGGACACGAAACCGAGCATAGCGAACCAGGAAGCTGGCTCCCCACCAGCTCACGTCCAGCTCCTACCCACTGGCGAAATGAACGAACCCATGGGACTGCTGCCTTCACCGGGCGGAGAGAAGCGGCTGGCACAGCACATGTTGGCAAGAGAAACCAAAGCCAAACAGCAGCGGACAGTCTGATCCCACGCGGGGAGCTTACACCACACAAGCCCTGACAAACCTCTCTCTTCCTAAGCCAGTAGCCAAACAAACTTGCCAGTTCCCTGTTTTGTAGCCAGTGCTTTAAACTGATAGTTATACATGGTGCTGTCAGTTATTAAACTGCCCTTAAGTTATACATTTATCCATATATTTAAGTATGAAATTCTTTCCTTGGTGTATGTCTGGTGCATACTGGGCAGAAAAGAGTTACACACACCTCAGGGCCCAGTTGACTTTTCTCCAACAGAATAGATTTAACCCCTGAAATGCCTGTTAATTAAACAAAATAAATTGATTGTGTCATTCCATGGAATGGGCAACAGGGGAGGATCGCTTGATGATTCCCTGTTCTCTTCATTCCCTCTGGGGCACCTGGCATTGGCCACTGTGAGATACAGGATACTGGGCTAGATGGACCTTTGGTCTGATCCAGTCTGGCCATTCTTATGTTCCAAATGTTCTGCACCATTCCCATATTTGGGCCAGAAAATGGAAGGTGTGTTCAGAGGCAATACAGAAAGCTGTCCCCCTCAGTGTCACCTGTTTATAGCAACACTATTAACACACACGATGCCAGTGCCCCTGCCTTGTCACTGCTCCAGCAACCTGAGGAGCAAGACTCTGTCAAAGGAGTCCCGACCCCAATGTCCCCATGTGCTCTTGTTTCAAATGCTAAGCTAGACCTGAGGAGACGGGAGCAGGGGAGTTACAAGAAATAGCGCTGAGGATCCGTGAACCTGCCATCCACTCCCTGTCAGGGGGAGCTGTGGTGGTGGTTGCTTAGACAGGTTGAAATATCTCAGAGGAGCAGTTGCACCTAGGACCTGGCTTTTCCCACCACCGCACCCTGAACAGCCCAGCAGAGCAACTGACATCTCAATATCTGCTAGTAGAGGAGGTATGTGAAAGACAGTTCAACACAGAGGTGCTGTGGTGGGGAGAAGAGTGGACTGACAAATCTTTCGTAGCATCTCCGTTTATCTGTGAGCTTCCAGCACCCATAGGATTGGAACTGAGCCCTTCTTCTTTTGTAAGGGAAAGGCGGTGATTAGCAGCGGTCAAAGAATCAAGTCCAGATTAGTAAGCAGCTTCAGAAGTGGGTTGGTGTAAATCTGAGATTGGCCAGCAAATGATTGAAATGGGCACTGATTTACAATGTGTCCATAGTTTGTGACTGGCATCCACAGTCACATTGTGCGTCGTCTTTCATCTTCTAGAGGTGTAAGAGATGACAGCAGCTGCCATTTAATTTTCTGAAATAATTCAATGTGGACCATTGTTTCTCGGGTAGGTTGAAGCCTGAAAGTTTTTTTGCGGGGTCGGCCATCAGGTGTGTGTTTGTGACGTCAGCATTCTCTGAAAACGCTTCCCAGTGGCCCTAGGATTGAATGGGGATGCTGAAAGCATTTACCCTGATCCCCAAAAGGCTTGCAGAGTTCAGGTGCATCATTGGAAGCTCCTCATGTATTGGTAAGTTCAAATTGGCCATGGTTTGATTGTATTCACAATTGTACTCTGGATTTTGGGTGTGGGTGTATGTGCTAGAGTGGGCAACCATTGATTTTAATGTTCCAGTTATAATTTTTATTGCAGCATTAAGCTGCACATCCAAAAACTTGGTATGTAGCTGCCCATGCACAATGTTCTGCAGTTGAGAATACCCAGTGCCAGAGGCACTGTTCAAAGCGTGTGTGCATCAACACTGCATGTTGGGCCTGCAAGTTTTTGGATGAGGCTAGTCCTTGCTGTTAACCTTTTCACATATCTTCCATGAAGCTTTAGGAGCCAAGTACTTTGGACAGGGCTCACTTCTGACCCATTGACCTCAAAACGTGACACTGAGTGGCTCCTTTGTGGTTCTGCTGTTTACTTGAAAGGCTGTTACCGAGATTTTGGAGGTGTTGAGGTGGAGCTTCCAGTATTAAAAGTATTATGCTGAGGTCGATGGCCAGGGTGTCACCACTTGTGGTAAGATCTTTGCCCTGTACTACAAGATTGATGTTGTCAGCATAAATGAATTTATACAAAATTGTGTCAGGTAAATTGCTATTGTAGATGTTAACTAGCAGAGGAGCCAGCACAGATCCTTGAGATACACCATCCCTGGGGGCGCCTGCTTTGCTTATCTGCCCAGGCAGAATGACACTGTATCTATGATAGCTCAACACTGATGTCAGGAGTCATGTAGTGCTACAGCATTTAATGGGGCTTGATACTCAGAGCAAGGGCCCAGATCTCCATAACTGATCCCTGCAGTAGGGATGGTGGTGGCAATTGGTACATCTGAACATGTGGCAGTTGCCTCTGTCAAGTCTGCCCCCCCAGGTTTGCTGTTTTGCCATATATTTCAGGAAGTGCATAGGCTACCTGGGGATGCAGTGGGAATGATGCACATGGGACTGAGTTCCTCCCCGGGGTAAAGCTCATTGGAGTCAATAGATTTACACCAGGCATAAACTTGGTCCTAGAAAGAGCTATGCGGTTAAGCCAAGGTGAGGTGTGATTTTGGATGGCAAGTGCTGTTAAATATTCTTTTGATTTCCTGTGCCCTTCCTGCTGGTGATTTCCTGTGCCCTTCCTGCTGGTGATTTCCTGTGCCCTTCCTGCTGGTGATTTCCTGGGCACTTCCTGCTGGTGAAGGGCTGGAGAGACAATTCTGGAAATTTAAGTCCTCCTGTTTCTCCATAGGTCGGATACTTGACTGTCAGCAAGAGGGAAGCTTCCCAGACACGGCCCTTCCAATGAGGCTCAGCCCTGAGCTTGAGAGATCAACCTCGGGCAGCGAAAGGCCACACTGGCCTCGAGCTCTCTGCCGGGACTGCCCACAAGGGCTTAGCTTCATGTACCGCACCCCCAGACACTACTATGGTGATGGGAGAGCTGTTCCGAGAGGCGGGAGCTGTGGATGGGAGAAGCTCTCCCATTGGCATAGCACTGTCTACACGATGGGGGGGGGGAGGGAGTAGGTCAATGTAACTATGTTGCTCAGGGGTGTTTTTTACACCCTTGAGTGATGTAGTTGTACCAATGTAGGGCTGTAGTGTAGACCTGGCCTCAGGCACGTTATTCTGATGACTATAATGCTTTAGTTTCCCACTTACATTGCAACATGATTTTAGTCTTTGCTATATGCTTGAACACCACTAGAGTTAGAGATTCATGCGCCACACCAGATGACAGCTGGAATTCCAAGGGAAGCAGCTTGGAGGCGCTACAGCCTCTCAACAACACATATGTAAAAAAATTTTTAACATGGGCCTAACCTCCTTCTCAGAAATGGCTGAACTGTTTTAGCTGAAATGTTTAATAAAAAAGAGGAAAAAAAATGCGCCTGAGGTAGACACCCAGCATGGAAACTTCAGCCTGAATGGTTGAAGTTTGGTCAAGTTAAAAGTGACTGAAAACAAGATCTTATCATGGAAAGTGTTGGGAAACCTTACCTATAGGTAGCACTGCCAGCTCCGTCTCTAATAAAGTGCTTGGGGGCTCCTTCAGGGTAGAAGTGTAATGTATTTAGAGGGAAACCCAAACCTAAAGCCTGGATCAAGACACTCCTGATTTGAAGGGAGCAGGAAGGTGTTGACATTGGAATCCAACAGCAGCTCTTCTCTAACTGGCCAGTTCTGAACATCTCTCAATTTTGAGGTGGTTGAAATCTGCCCCAGATGTGAATTTTGCAGCTTGGGCCCATTGCTGTTGTAACTATTATCAATCATAAAACAGTCAGGGACTCATGATGATAAGAAGACAACGTCATGTTACCTATCTAGGCTGACTTTTCCTATGTATCCTCAAGATCTGCAATCCCCTAATGCCTGCTCCCAAACCTCCCTTGTATTTGTCAATGTGCTGTTTTAAGAGTCCCGGCTCTCTGGCTAGCACTGTAAAAATGGAGGAAAACAACAGGCTCTGAAAGACCTTCTGACAGTTACAACTGGCTTTCTGAGGCCCTTGGCAGCCTGATCAGACATTTAAAGGGAGGGGAGACACACTAACAAAATTACACCTGAAGCTGCATCAGCAACCCTTCCTTCCATCACACTATCAAATCTGCCAGTCTCATTCGGCAGCAGCTGTAGGAGCAGCAAGTGCTTCAGGCCCAGCTGGAAATGGATACACAAGCTGCCTCTTCTGGGGCTGCCCTGCCATCTCAATCCCCATCCTCTCCCAAGAGGACTATGCCACTCCCTATGATCACTGCTGAAAGAGGTGGGGATGGCTACCTAGCAGTGGATTAGTTAAGAAAGCGTCCAGTCACCAAAATGAAAGGCCTCCTTTTGCCCCCCTTAAAGAAATGTTAGTGTTCTGTTGTAATAGCCACAACCCTGGTGGCATTTGGGACCATCCCTGTAAAATATCAGTATCAAGTTATCCTGCAGTGACTCCAGAGTGTGAGAAGCAGCCCCAGGGCAGACTGCTAAGAACCAGGGCTCAAACCCCAAATTGGCTGGAGTTCACCCACCAGTTATCAAGTGTAAACACCTCAGGCACCATAACAGCCTGAACATGGGGCACGTCTACACTGGCAGAGTTACATCACCGGCAGCTACAATGCCGCTCAGAGAGCGCTGAAGGGAAACCGCTGTTGTGTGTTCACACGGTCAGCTGCCTGTGCAATAGCGTGTTCACACTTGCGGCACTTGCAGTAGTATTCCGAGCAGTGCACTCTGGGCAGCTATCCCACAGAGCACCTCTTCCTCTTCTGCTGCTAAGACTTGTGGGAAGGCGGAGGGGGTCACGGGGCATCATGGGTCCTGTCCCAATGCCCCATGATGCATTGCTTCGCATCTCAGCAATCCCTGTGCTTCCGTCCGCATTTGGCCCCATCTTTCAACCGTTTGTGCACTGCGCGCCCTGCCTCTTCGGGCTGCAGGAATGGATCCCAAACTGCTGACCAATATGCTGCTCGCTCTGACCAACACGTCACGAGTGGCAGTGGAGTTATTCCTTAAACTACAAAGGCAAGAGGAGTGCGACATTGATCTCGCCACGCGTAGTAGCTACGACACGAGTTTGCTTGTAGCATTCACAGAGGTGCTGACCACAGTGGAACGCCACTTTTGGGCTCGGGAAACAAGCACTGAATGGTGGGATCACATCGTCATGCACGTCTGGGATG